TACTCTTGTACATATTGAAACACAGCCAGGCAGCCCAATTCAGATATTTTGCCAATTATTTGCATGTCTGATTCCTATCTGATTTCCTTAATGTGTGAACAGGAAAAAAACACATGGAATCTGATCTTTTGACTTCCGATTTATACCACCTTCATATGTGGATCTCAATCCTGATACAAACCTGATCCTCCATATACGACCTCTGTCTGGACACTCAGATTAGATTTTTTTGCTCTGAAGTGGGTTTTTTAGCTAGCCTGTAACATCACTTCCTGTAGTTGCTCAAAGGCTACATCAGCGTGAATACGCACATTTGATATGGGTCACACATAAAACTAAACGTGGACAGTCAGAAAAAAATATCAGATATAGAAAGCAAATCTTATTTGAGTTCTTAGGGTGGCTGTGTAAACACAGCCCCTGTGACTCTATCTTAGACATAGTTTCTCCTTCACTTATGTTTCTGCTATAAGTGACAATGGCGTTTTCGACTGGAGGGCTGAAGTGTCCACTGGTTCTCATCTCCCTCCCTGGTACCTGATATACTGATATTACTGGTTGGCTAGAGAGTCAGTCTATTCAACTAGTTCAGGTTCAGTGTCCTTGAGGACTCAACTGTGTGTGTATGTTCTCTATCGAGGGGCCTGCTGCTGGATTTGAATCTCAACTTCCACAGTGTGTAAGAAGCAGAAGTGAAAGCAGTTAAGTGACTCAACTTCCTGTGAGGAGCAAAGAGGCTGTTAGAGAGAGCAGACAGATGTTTCTACATTTTACATTTTACATTTCAGTCATTTAGCAGACGTTCTTATCCAGAGCGACTTACAGTTAGTGAGTGCGTACATTTTTCATACTTTTTCTACACACCTGTGTTGAAATACTGTTTGTTTTCTTTCAGACAATTGACTGAGCTTGCCTGGTTCAATGGAAGCCAATGGAATAGTCCCAAAAGTGCAACCCAAGGCCCATAGTCATAAAGCCTACCCCAATGGACTGCACATTGTTGTTCCTGACCAGCACTTATACACCTGCTTCAACTAATCAGCTGCTTGATGATTAGTCAAGATTAATTAAATAACCTAAATAAAGCAGTGTTAAAAAAAATAAAAAATAAAGATCCTGGCAGCAATATGCTTTGGGGACATTTCCATGATAGTGTGAAACATTGTATTCTAATGCCATTAGTTTGTTGAATCTTGTCAAGTAGCTTGTTCGATAATTCATCCATGCACTGTTGATTCACTGGAGTTGAATAAACTTGTTTACTCCATGGCTGCACTCTCCCACCAGATTAGGCCTGCAGTGCATTGCGTTACAGAATAGGGCCTCACTATCCTTCTCCTGCCCCAGCAGATGAAGCAGTGGAGCAATATCTCTTGACATATTTTGACAGGTAGGGCCTAGGCCTGTAGCCTACAGTAGCTACCAGTGGCGGTCGATGCCGTTTAAGATTAGGGAGGATTATAATTGTTTTATGAGCATGGGTAGCTCATAAAACTTTTATGAGTCATTCATATTCCATTCACCCAGTTCAATGTAACATCGATAGGTTTTGTAAGGTTCTGTATTTATTTTCTTAGTCAACCTTGTGTTCTTGAACTTAGCCCTGTTTCTTTGTGTTTTTGAACGTAGCCCTGTCTTTAATTTTTGTTCATTGGTTTCACCTGTGTTTGTTACTCACCTGGTCTCATTATCTCCTTATTTAGTTCAGTTCATTCTGTTTGTGCCTTGTGAGGTATTGTTCGTTTTGACTCTACTAAGCCTTTTCCTAGCTCGTTTGTGAGAACCAGTTATAGCCTTCAGTCCTAGTTTTTGATTCTCCTGCCTGTTTGCCTACCTGTGTATGACCATTGCCTGCCTGTGACCACGATTCCTGCCTTTTGCGAAGGCAAAATAAACCCCTGCCGTGCTCTGCGCGTGAATCTACACCTTTTTCTCCCTGAGTATTCATTACATGTTTAGGCAACAACATGATACTCGAATTTGCCCTATACCCATCATTAGGTTGCTACAACCTAGCCTACAAAGGAAAGTTTATAACGTAGGTCGAGAGACAAATTGGAGTAATCAAGGTGACAGACAGTGAGACATTAAATATCGCCTTGCACACCCTTTCCTGCATCTAGCTGATCTGGGGTGTAGTCGTTAGTCCAAACAAAACAAGAGTTTCTATTGGACAAATTGTTCCGTTTGCTTCCGTTTAAGAAACGTTTTGCAACAGAATCAGCGGAATGAATACACTCCTTAACACCTGCACAAACAGTTCAATTTCAGCATCATCACTTTGCTCGTTTGTATAGTTCCTTCTCGCCTCTACGTACTCTCCTCCTCTCACATTTTCTCTTCGCTTGTGGACTTCAGTACACAACACAACAGCTGTCTGTGACTAGGCGCAAAAAAACGCTCAAAACCAAACCTTCATACCATAACCGCTTCACAGCCTACATTGTTGTCACCATATTAACGTTATAGTCAGCAAACTACAACTAACGCGTTAGTAACCCACAATCCTATCCATGTGTACAATCACACAGTACAGTGTAAAGCAAGCAGTTTAGCAGTTATACCAGCAGGCCCCAGTGGCAATAAATTAATAAAACCGAAAGCTTACCTTGACTTGGAAGAGTTGCAGTATTGGATAGCCTTAGCTAACTAAATAACATAAATATCATTCCTCTCTGTTTGAGTCAGGTTGTTGAGTAGGCTAAAGTAAGTAAAAGGTAAAGAAGAAAAAAATACAATGGAATATCTCTGTCTCTCTCTGCTGCTTCTCCTGAATTTAAAACAAAATGTTTTTTCTCTCTGAGTCAAATACTCATCACACTTTTTTCACTGCAGTGCTAGCTAGCTGTAGTTTATGCTTTCAGTACTAGATGAAATTATCTGATCCTTTGATTGGATGACAACATGTCAGTTCATACTGCAAGAGTTCTGATAGTTTGGAGAACGTTAGAGCCAGACCGACAGGGGATTTTTGGATCCAATACCAATTCCGATTTTAGAGTGGAAATTATATATATATCTACAGATATTTGTATTATTAAATCTGAAAAAAAAAAAAAAAATCTGTATGGATTGTGCTTAAAACAGCCCTACAAAGATACTCTGAAAATTGATTTGTTACATTTGAGGAAAGAACATTAATCTAAGCGCCACATTGAATTTAGGAGCACCAGAAAGACAAGATTTAATGGAAAACTGTGTGGTACACTAGTAAAAGGAGGATAAACTGCACTGATTCCAAAATGTCTTTTGCCTCTGAAGATTGAAAATTGCTAGCCAGCTGGAAAACAACAATATAGGACACATTTTCATTACATTAATATTTAGTATGCTTTCATCGATTGTAGGGCTGTAGCCACTGAATTCTAGTAGTTTTCAGTTGAAAGGAAAAACATCAATCACAAAATGTGCCGCTGCCTCTCGCAGCAGGCATTGCCTCTGCGCTATATTGGATCCTTGGGACGTCCATACACATGGTTACAGTAAGTGTTAAGGTTTGGGTTAGGTAAGGGTTATGGTTTAGCGTATGGACGTCCCAAGGTTTCCAGATAGCACTAAACCTCAGTGATGGCGTCAAGTAGTCTCACACAGCTAGTTAGCTGGCTAGCTAGCTAGCACTCGTCATGGAAATGGGGGTGGCAATTGGCGAAATGTGAATTTGGACCAGTCCCTATCAAGTTACGATGAACCCATACTTCAAAATGAAGCTACGAAGTGCTACTTTGCAACCTGCAAAGTTGTTTTTAGTGTCTCTGAAAACAGTTGAAAGACAGAGCTTGAGGAATACCCTTCACAAAGAGCAAATGTAACACACCAGATTTCGCTGGCTTTACTAAAGAGCTGTAATGTTAACGTTAACACAGAGTTGATTGTCTTAGCACGGCACTTACTTTACATTTGGCCATAGCATCCATTGTTTGTCACGACACCCGACACCCTACTATGACACTTCACATAACAGTATATGGCCAGTGTCCATTTTTGGCACTTTATTGAGCTGGCAAGCTTTTATCTACTCAGCACTCATCGTAGAAGCAGTAAGACTAAGAGTTAGTTCACAGTAGTTCACTCTCCTCTCTGACTGGTGTAGTTGCATTGGTCCGGTGGTAGTGTCCAGTCTTAGTTTAGTGCGCCAAGGCAAGATAGGCTTATAGCCATGTAAAGCGTGTCCTCTTCAGGACAAATAATGAAATGCACAAAAAAGTCAAAATCTATGAAGAATGGCTTTTTTGCCGAGCGTTTTCTCCGTATCTTATATCGGCCATTTGCAATGGATTAAACGCAGATACAAATACATTGGTAAAAGGCTAATATCGGCCGATAATATTGGTAAACTGATAAATCGGTCAGGCTCTAGATGTCCGGACGTCATCATAATTAGAACCATGAGCCTCCTAGGTTTTGTATTAAAGTCAATGTACCCAGAGGAGGATGGAAAATAGCTGTCCTCCGGCTACACCATGGTGCTACCCTAGAGGGTGCTGATGAGGCTTAATTGCAAAACGTGTTTTAATCAGTTATTTGGTGACGAGAATATATTTAGTATAGTAAAAAGGATACTTTTTTAAACGTTTCACTATTTAAATTTTTATGAAATTCACTGAGTAGGATGGTCCTCTGAGGAGCTTCCACTGGTAGCTACACCTGCGCCATACGCATCCCTAAAATGAATTTCAATCACTTTGTATAAATCTCAGCGTCGGCTCGGCATTAAAATGCACGCAACGCAACACTACAGTTTGATCCGACCTAGGCTACTGTTGCTTCACTCACTCACTCTCACTCTAATCACACGTCCTGGAAATGTTGTGAGAGTTCTTTCTAAATATAACTGCAGAGGGAGGGAGAGAGAGAGAGAGAGAGAGAGAGAGAGAGAGAGAGAGAGAGAGAGAGAGAGAGAGAGAGAGAGAGAGAGAGAGAGAGAGAGAGAGAGAGAGAGAGAGAGAGAGAGAGAGAGAGCGGGAGAGAGAGACCACCCTCCCAGCCTACTAAGGGCTCTCGCATAGCTCACATACATGGGCCTGGCAGGAGAGAGACGGGTGTGAGGAGAGGAGACGGAGTGCAACTTTGACAAGTCCCAAAATAAAACTTTTAGAGGGAGTTGAAACTTGCTGCGAACGGGACGACAGTCAAGGCGGCTGCAGCAGAGGATGGAGGTAAACAGAGTTTTGGGGTGTTTTTAAATATGTTTTTGTTTGTGTTGAAGAGCTAAGTTGTTGATTCACCATGTCATATAGAATTATATCTGTGATTCTGTGCTGTCCAGTACAATGTAGTCTATAGCGGACTAAACTCGTAAATTGTTGAGTTGAGTTTAGTCGGCTATGTAGTCTAATAACCTGCATAAGACATGACACTCTCTGTTTGATCTGTATGGACCAAACTGTGGCCTAGATAGCATGCAGATTAGATGATTCACGTGTTTTGAGTTACAGAGGGGCATAACAACCAGGCCTGGGCTTAGTTCTAACCCATAAATTACACTGAATTAAACTACTTTTAGTCATGCATATTGTCACTTGTCATGACATCTAACTCTCATTCTCTTTCTCTCATGTTCATCGTGCCATCACTATTTGAGAGACTGTCAAGCATATAGCCTAATGACTGGATTTGTATGCATTAAGCCCGGGGTGTCAACTGTCAAACTCAATTCCTGTTTTTTGTTATTACCTTTCAATTTGTGTACAATTAAGACAGACTTTTAAAAAGTATTTTTTTATTAGGATCCCCATTAGCCGACGCCAATGGCGACAGCTACTTTTACTGGGGTCCGAGACATAATGAAGAAGACATTACAGACAAAATACTTTACAATTTACATACATTTAAAAACATTAACATGTAGTGTGCGTGTGCATCCATCAGTTACACATCAGTACGTTGTGCCGTGAGGTGTTGCTTTATTTGTTTTTGGAAACCAGGTTTGCTGTTCACTTGTGCTATATGAAATAGAAGGGAGTTCCATGCAATGATGGCTCTGTATAATACTGTATGTTTCCTTGAATATGTTCTGGACCTGGGGACAAGAACAAATAGACAACCAGGTGAGGGGAGTTTCTAACTAATCAATATTCTTAATTGATCAATCAAGGACAAAGGAGGAGCAAAAACCCACAGACACTCGGCCCTCCAGGAATTAAGTTTGACACCTCTGCATTAAGGCGATGATGAAAGAATGTTACTTGTGTGTCAGTCGTAAAGGGAGTAGTAGTTTTTGGAATAGAGTTGTAGCATTTGGGAGCAGACATATTGGTTTGTGTTAGATGCATGATGCATGTGGTGGTGGAATGATGGCGATGGTAGCCTATCACAAGAACACTTCCTGGTTTGCTGACCTTATACTGTAGCTGATTCTCCTCATCAATGCTGTTCAGTACGTTACTCAAACAGGAAATATGACAGGAACACACACCACACACACCCACACACATGCACACACACAGAGGAAGTGGTGTAACCGTTACCTTTGCAACAAGTTTCTACAGATGGAGTTGCTCAATTCTACACGCTGTAGCCATATACATGAGTGGGTTGTGAAACGTGATATTGATTGGCCGACTAGTTGTCCAGAGAAGAGGAGATTTTAGACCAAGGATGTGCATCCCAAATGACACCCTATTCCCTATTGTCAAAAGTAGTGCACTAAATTGGTATATGGTGCCATTTGACAACAGGTCCATGCTAAAGACATGTTTTACACTCATTCTCTAGGTCTCCTGCCTTTAAGGATGAGAATGCATTTGTTTGTGTGTGTGTGTGTGTGTGTGTGCGCCTACGTGCGCCTGGCCTCCGGGCTATGTGATTTCATTATCTGCTGAATGCCAGCAATGTGAGTCCTTCAATTTAGAGGAGTGTGTATCAACCCCACTTCAACAGCTGTGTGTGTGTGTGTGTGTTTGTGCCTGAAGTGAGGGCAGATAATGAAGGACAAGGAGATACAAGACAGAGAGGGGGAGAACGAGAGCACGAGAGGGAGAGAGAGAGAAAGGAAAGAGGGACAGAGGAAGAGGAAGAGAAAGAGAGGAAGGGGAGTAAAGGACAGTAAAGATCTGGATATGGTCTTACTGAAAGTGTGTGTGTGTGTGTTCGGGGTGTGTTTGGGAAGGTCCTCTGAGCTAAATGTTTAGTCTCTGCCAACACACACACACACGCTGGACTCCACCTCATATCCACCACACATAAACAGCGCCAGATGATGATGTCATGAGAGAGAGAGTGAGAGCGAGAGAGAGAGCGAGAAGGATTTGTGTGTAATTTGTGTAATCTGACTGTTCCATTCTGACACACCTCTCTTGCTCTCTTTCTCTCACTCTCTCTCTCTCTCTCTCTCTCTCTCTCTCTCTCTCTCTCTCTCTCTCTCTCTCTCTCTCTCTTCCCCCTCTCTCTCCCACCATCCCTCTGTCTCTCTCTTGCTTTCTCTCACTCTTCTCTCTCCTCTTTCTGTTTCTCTTTCTTAAACACACATGCTGCCTCTCCCATGAAGCACCACTAATAGAGTCATGCTCATGAGTTCTGATGCTGGTGGTCTCAATCACACACTGACAAAGAACATCTTTGTGATGCTTAAACATACACACACACACACACACACACACACACATCACAGGATACAGGCATCCTTCCTAACTCAGATGCCGGAGAGGAAGGAAACCACTTAGGGATTTCACCATGAGGCCAATGGTGACTTTAAAACAGTTACAGCGTTTAATGGCAGTGATAGGAGAAAACGGAGGATGGATAAACAATGTAGTTACTCCACAATACTAACCTAACTGACAGAGTGAAAAGAAGAGAAGGAAGCTTGTACAGAATACAAATATTCCAAAACATGCATCCTGCAAAAAATACATCAAAAAAATGTGTCAAGCAATTAACTAATTAATTAACTGTTATGTTTGGGGCAAATCCAATACAACATTACTGAGTACCACTCTCCATATTTTCAAGCATAGTGGTGGCTGCATCATGTTATGGGAATGCTTGAAATCATTAAGGACTGGGGAGTTTTTCAGGATAAAAAATAAACTGAATGGAGCTAAGCACAGGCAAAATCCTAGAGGAAAACCTGGTTCAGTCTGCTTTCCACCAGACACTGGGAGCTGAATTCACCTTTCAGCCGGACAATAACCTAAAACACAACGCCAAATCGACACTGGAGTTGCTTACCAAGAAGACATGAATGTTTCTGAGTGGCAGAGTTACAGTTTTGAATGAAATCTACTTGAAAATACAGTGGGGAGAACAAGTATTTGATACACTGCCGATTTTGCAGGTTTTTCTACTTACAAAGCATGTAGAGGTCTGTAATTTTTATCATAGGTACACTTCAACTGTGAGAGATGGAATCTAAAACAAAAATCCAGAAAATCACATCGTATGATTTTTAAGTAATTAATTTGCATTTTATTGCATGACATAAATATTTGATACATCAGAAAAGCAGAACTTAATATTTGGTACAGAAACCTTTGTTTGCAATTACAGAGATCATACGTTTCCTGTAGGTCTTGACCAGGTTTACACACATTGCAGCAGGGATTTTGGCCCACTCCTCCATTCAGACCTTCTCCAGATCCTTCAGGTTTCGGGGCTGTCGCTGGGCAATACGGACTTTCAGCTCCCTCCAAAGATTTTCTATTGGGTTCAGGTCTGGAGACTGGCTAGGCCACTCCAGGACCTTGAGATGCTTCTTACGGAGCCACTCCTTAGTTGCCCTGGCTATGTGTTTCGGGTCGTTGTCATGCTGGAAGACCCAGCCACGACCCATCTTCAATGCTCTTACTGAGGGAAGGAGGTTGTTGGCCAAGATCTCGCGATACATGGCCCCATCCATCCTCCCCTCAATACGGTGCAGTCGTCCTGTCCCCTTTGCAGAAAAGCATCCCCAAAGAATGATGTTTCCACCTCCATGCTTCACGGTTGGGATGGTGTTCTTGGGGTTGTACTCATCCTTTTTCTTCCTCCAAACACGACGAGTGGAGTTTAGACCAAAAAGCTCTATTTTTGTCTCATCAGACCACATGACCTTCTCCCATTCCTCCTCTGGATCATCCAGATGGTCATTGGCAAACTTCAGACGGGCCTGGACATGCGCTGGCTTGAGCAGGGGGACCTTGCGTGTGCTGCAGGATTTTAATCCATGACGGCGTAGTGTGTTACTAATGGTTTTCTTTGAGACTGTGGTCCCAGCTCTCTTCAGGTCATTGACGAGGTCCTGCCGTGTGGGGCGGCAGGTAGCTTAGTGGTTAAGAGTGTTGTGCCAGTAACCGAAAGGTCGCTGGTTCTAATCCCCGAGCCGACTAGGTGAAAAATCTGTCGATGTGCCCTTGAGCAAGGCACTTAACCCTAATTGCTCATGTAAGTCGCTCTGGATAAGAGCGTCTGCTAAATGACTAAAAATGTAAATGTAAAATGTAGTTCTGGGCTGATCCCTCACTTTCCTCATGATTATTGATGCCCCACGAGGTGAGATCTTGCATGGAGCCCCAGACCGAGGGTGATTGACCGTCATCTTGAACTTCTTCCATTTTCTAATAATTGCGCCAACAGTTGTTGCCTTCTCACCAAGCTGCTTGCCTATTGTCCTGTAGCCCATCCCAGCCTTGTGCAGGTCTACAATTTTATCCCTGATGTCCTTACACAGCTCTCTGGTCTTGGCCATTGTGGAGAGGTTGGAGTCTGTTTGATTGAGTGTGTGGACAGGTGTCTTTTATACAGGTAACGAGTTCAAACAGGTGCAGTTAATAAAGGTAATGAGTGGAGAACAGGAGGGCTTCTTAAAGAAAAACTAACAGGTGTGTGAGAGCCGGAATTCTTACTGGTTGGTAGGTGATCAAATACTTATGTCATGCAATAAAATGCAAATTAATAACTTAAAAATCATACAATGTGATTTTCTGGATTTAGTTTTAGATTCTGTCTCTCACAGTTAAAGTGTACCTATGATAAAAATTACAGACCTCTACATGCTTTGTAAGTAGGAAAACCTGCAAAATCGGCAGTGTATCAAATACTTGTTCTCCCCACTGTATATGGCAAGATCTGAAAATGGTTGTCTAGCAATGATCATCAACCAATTTGACAGATCTTGAAGAATTTTGAAAAGAATAATCGGCAAATGTTGCACAATCCAGGTGTGGAAAGCTCTTAAGAGATTTACCCAGAAAGACTCACAGCTGTAATCGATGCCTAAGCTGCTTCTACAAAGTATTGACTCAGGGGTGTGAGTTCTTATATTACCAGTCAAAAGTTTGGACACACCTACACATTCCAGGGTTTTTCTTTATTTTTACTATTTTCTACATTGTAGAATAATAGTGAAGACATCAAAACTATGAAATAACACATTCCAGGGTTTTTCTTTATTTTTACAATTTTCTACATTGTAGAATAATAGTGAAGACATCAAAACTATGAAATAACACATATGGAATCATGTAGTAACCAAGAAAGTGTGAAACAAATCAAAATATATTTTATATTTGAGATTCTTCAAAGTAGCCACCCTTTGCGTTGATGACAGCTTTGCACGCTATTGGCATTAGCTGAATGAGTAGGTATATCCAAACTTTTGACTGGTACTGTATGTCAATTTGATATTTCTGTATTTAATTTTCAATACATTTGCTAAAATTTCTAAAAACATGTTTTCACATTATGGGGTAATGTGTGTAGATGGGTGAGAGAAAAAAAATAATTAATACATTTTTAATTCAGGCTAACAACAAAATGTGGAATAAGTCAAGGGGTATGAATACTTTCTGAAGGCACTGTATGTGTGAGGATGATGTATACAGGCATATCGATAGGGATCCAGTCATATAGATAGGGATCAGATGAGTTATGTCTGGATGTTTCCGGAAGGGTGCAACCAATAACGTCTACCCAGAACCCACACACATAGCAACATGACTGTAAAGAGAGCAGAGCGGAGAGGGAAAGAGAGAAAGAGAGTGTGGAGATTATAAAGAGTGTATGCTTGAGAGAAAAAGAGAGATAGAGGGAGGGAGAGAGAGAGGTCCAGCATGGTAAAGTGATTAAGATGTTGTGTTTTTGTTGTGCCGTTGCAGTGTTTCTCCTCTCCCTGTGGTTGGAGTGCTGCCCAGCCTAGTTAACACACGCACACAAACACACACTAAGTTAACAACAATTCTAGCGGGAAGGGGCGGGGCTGGGAAGGGAGTGCGTGAGGCTGGCGTGTTTATTTAACGTTGTAAAAGCATTGTAAAAACAACAGTTCAGAGGTGTTGAGGCTGTCTGCCATGGTGTGACATCATCTCCCATCATGCACTGTGGAACAGGTGTGTGTCTAGTAATGATGTCAGAAGAAGGCCAGGCAGCACTCACTGGATGCAGTGTGTAGTTTGGTTGATTAAGTACATATTTTTTTAAAGACAATTTTCACACAAATTGTACATAAATGTCTGAAGTTTCACCTTCAGAGAGTGTGTTTGGTTAGACCAGCTATAGTGTTTTCCTAAGCTCCAGTGGCAACACTAGGTTTGGGGGTTTGATTCCTTGCATGGGTCCCAAATACTGAGTGTATGTGTTAACTGGCCACATTAAACAGGAAGAAAGGTCTGTACTGTAGAAGCAGGCCTGAATGAGGCATTAGAACTGTCAACAGCTCTGGTCTCTCTCTCTCTCTCTCTCTCTCTCTCTCTCTCTCTCTCTCTCTCTCTCTCTCTCTCTCTCTCTCTCTCTCTCTCTCTCTCTCTCTCTCTCTTTCTCTCTCTTTCTCTCTGTCTCTCTCTCTCTCTGCCCTGAACAATGCACTGTCTCAGTCTGTTACTGATATCCCTCCTTTTTCTCCCTCTCCAACTCATTATCTCTCTCCCTCTCCCTAGTAGATCTCTCAGGCCAGTGCTCTCTCTCTCTCACCAGCCTGTCATTTACCTTATTCACTGCCACTTTATGTAATGTCCTCCAGTCTCAAGTCCCCGGGTCCCCAGCCACCAACCAACCAACCCACCCACCCCCACCACTTCTCTCTCACACACACACACACACACACACACACACACACACACACACACACACACACACACACACACACACACACACACACACACACACACACACACAGACACACGGGTTGCTCTCTCTCTCTCTCTCTCTCTCTCTCTCTCTCTCTCTCTCTCTCTCTCTCAATTCAATTCAATTCAATTCAATTTGCTTTATTGGCATGACGTAACAATGTACATATTGCCAAAGCTTACTTTGGAGATTTACAATATTAACATAATAAAAATAATTATAATAAATATTTTCAATATTGTCTCTCTCTCTTTCTCTCTTTCTCTTTCCATCTCTCTGTCTTCCCTATTTCTCTCTTCACTCTCTCTCTCTGTTCCTCTCTCTCTCTCGATTCAGTACCAAGATGTTTTGAGTTGTTTAAGTTGAGCAAAGAAATATAGATTGTCAGTGAGTGGGCAGTGGGGATGTCTAGAGAGTGAAGTGCTTGTTGACCAGAGCAGGGGAAAGCAGCTGAGAGTGGGGGAAAGAGAGAGGGTTATGACCTCAGCTCTGGATGGAGGATGGGGGCATGGGCTCTGTCCCAAATGGCACCCTATTCCCTTTATAGTGCACAAATCTTGACCAGGGCCCTTTTGGGATGCAGTCATGATCTGACTAGGTCTTGCCCTAGGGAGAGAGAGAGAAGGGTGAGGTCATACTTAGACTGTAGAAAGAGCCACAGTATATGGCAGAACTACTTACCAAAACAGACATTATGGTTCTCATCTATTTCTATGTTAGACTTACAGGAGTATTGAGGAAAGCTCCAAACTTGCTAGGAACTCTGGGTAGCCCAGACAGACAGAGAGAGAGGGAGGGGAGGGGAGAGGGGGAAAGAGAGAGCGAGAGAGAGAGCGAGAGAGAAAAAATGTTTATGCACTCACTAACTGTTAAGTCGCTCTGGTAAGAGAGCTTCTGGTGTTAAAAAATGGGTGGAAGTGGGGGATGGAGGACGAGAGAGAGAGATAGAGAGAGAGTAGGGAAGAAGAGAGATGGAGAGAGAGAGAGAGAGATCGAGAGAGGAGAGATCCATATAGCTGAGAGGAGGAGAGAGAGGAGAGAGATAGAGATGACGAACGAGAGAGAGAGGACGAGGAGAGAGAGAGGAAGAGAGAGAGAGAGAGAGAGGATTTGTGAGTAACCTGTGTAACCTGACTGTTCCAGAGCTAGAAGGAAAAGGGAGTGGGCCTGTGAATCTCACCATGGCCCATCCAGTCAAATATAAGTGTGGTGAGGTCACAGGATACAGAGAGACAGAGAGAGAGAAGAAGAGAGGGAGAGAGAGAGAGCATCCATAGACAGACATAATGGCAGACAGGCCGACAGACACATCCAACTGTTCGTTCTATTTCTATACCCCTCTCTCGGTTTTCTTTTAATCATGCTCCTCGCTGTATTCCCCCCTATATCCTACCTAGCCAAGCTGAGAGTGTGAGGTAATTTCCTGTTGTGGAAAATTGGAAAAGTACGAAAATGTATGCACTCACTCACTGTTAAGTCACTCTGGATAAGAGCGTCTGCTAAATGACTAAAATGTCAATGTAAATGTCCTGTGGTGTCAGTATGGTTGTGTATAGGGGAAGGGGTGTCCCAAATGCCACCCTATTCCTTACATTATGTGCTACTTTTGACCAGGGCTCTGTAGGGGAATAGGGTACCATTTGGGACGCAATCCCTGTCCAATTTCCCCCCCAGCTTCTCCCATATCAATGACCTCACCTCATCTGTGTGTGTGTCAGCAGCCATTTACTTTGTGTGTGTGTGCCAAAGTCATATTGTACTTTTTGTGTTTCATGAGGACGCCCCGCCTAAGAAGTCAGTTGCGGAGCTGGCTGGAAAGTTCAAAGGTCATGCCCCTCCCATCCCCACTGGAACTGACGGGGTGAGGTCATTATAACTTCCTTTTCCTCTCTTTCTCTATCTTTCTCTATCTCTCTTTCGCTCTCTTTTCTCTTCTCATCTTCTTTCTCTCTCACTCTATCAGATAGTTAGATAGATAGATAGATAGTACTGAAGCAGCTAAACGTATTAATACACAGAGACGTGAAACAGGAAGTTACACACAGGAAGTGAGGCGCAGGAAGTGGTTCTATGAATATCTGTGCCTCTGTGTGAATGCCGTGTCAGCCCTGCTTGAAAACACACTCACAACCACATTCATTGATGTAAAGATGGGCACTATATTGTGTTATTATAATACTTTTAGCTCCTCATTGATGTTTTTTTACTTGTTTATTTCTGTATGACCAAATAGATCTTAAACACACACTCGGTCGTAAACACTCTTTCATGAAATGTACTTCAACATGTCATTTATGTGTCATGTTGTGTGTCCTGTCAACATCATTTGTTCTGACGTGCTGCACAGTTCTTGTGCTTTGGTGTGTTCGTTGATGTCAGCATGCCAGTGTGTGTATGTGGAGTATGTTTGTTTGTCAGTGTTCATGTATGGATTGTGGTTGCTGTGTTGTCATTGTCAGTCAGTCAACTGCATTTGTGTTTTGTGCCTCTGAGTCATGTCAGTGACAGTACACTGTGATCGTTTTTGTTTATCACTAAAATGTACATTTATGTTGATGGTCAGTGGCATGTGTCAGTGTTGTAGTATCTTCTAAGATCCTGACATGGTTGAGTTATGTGTTTATTTGGTCAGATTTGTATGTCTGCATGTCTGTAGCGCCCTGTGTTCTAGTTGTGTTGTTCTGTTGTTTCCTGTTATGTTGACGTTTCAGTGTTGTGTGTGTGTTGTGTTGCTGGTAGGCCCATTGTGTCCTTGGCAGAGTGTTGGTTTAGTAGCCTCTGGTCTTGTGTCTCTTAATCTGTGTGTGTGTGTGATTACTATGCTATGCTAGTGCCATGCTAGTGCTATGCTATGTGTAATAGTATTATGTCTGTTGGTATAGTATTGTTTGAGTAGCCCCCTGGTGTTGGTTTCTCTTCCAGAGTACGCCTGTTAGGAGACGCCCCCCTCGAACCCTACAGCTCCCCAAGACCACAGCACAGGGACAGGGACAGGTGGAGGAGGAGGTGAGAGGAGTGTGTGGGTGTGAGTGTTTTACGGGGAATGTTTGACCATTGTGTGTTGTACAGTTATATTATGCCATGTCCCTTTTATGTGTGTGCGTACCTGTGCGTGAATTTGAGGGGAAGTGATGTGTGTTCTGCATTTTGTGTTGTACAGTTCTATTTTGTGTACATCATCTGTATCTTAGTATCATTGAATTAAGGGTTGAAATAGAGTTGACCCTAAACCTGGTATTTAATACAGACTAAGATAAAGTTAAAATATAGGATGAGACAGAGAAAGCATTCTGTGACGCAGTGTGTGTGTGTGTGCGCGCATGCGTGTGTATTTCTCATCTGTGTTTCAGAAACCCATCTCCCCGTCTCTGCATCCTGCCAAAACCAAAAGGAACTCTGCTCTCATTGAGAAACTGCAGGTGAGCATGGTGTGTGTGTGTGTGTGTGTGTGTGTGTATGTACGTGCTTGTCTGCATCTGTGTGTGCTTGTTGATTTGGAGAGGGCAATGCTCTTGCTGTACCATACAGTTATGTGAAGAGTAGTCAAGGCTGCCCCCTGGTGTATGTAAGTGAGCAGTGCAGGTGCATGCAGAGACAGAGGGAAGAGAAGGGAAGGGAGATCAGGCAGAGAGGATCAGGTACAGTACGGTCTCACAGGTTGATAATAAGAGAGAGCAGCCATTTCCTGACTGAGTCTCTCACACCTCAACATCCAGTCAGTGTCACTGAGGACAGCCCACAAAAAATGGCTGCAAGCTCTCTGAATCTTAGGTACGTCTTAGTGTGTAATAACATTACAATAACTCTCTCTCTCTCCCTGTCTTTCTCTCTCTCTCTTTCTTCCTTGCTCTCTCTACTTCCTCTCGCTCTCTGTCCGTCCGTCCCTCTCTCTCTCCCTCTCTCCCCACCCTCTCTCTCTCTCTCCAGGCTAACCTGGCGTTATCCCCCTCTTCCCTCCTGCCCTCTCCTAAGAGCCCTGGGCTGAGACTGTTGCCACCCCCCTTCACCCCCATCTCCCCATGCTCCACCACCCCTCCTGTTACTACAGTAACCCCCACCTCCCCAGTCAGCAGGGCGCCCCTCCCTCGGTCGCTGAGCGAGGAAGAGACGCCTACCACCTTTGAGAACCCAGCCACACCCACTGAAGGAGCCCTACTGCCCAGCATCAACAAGGTCTGCTCAGTGTGTGTCTGTGTTTGGTTGTACTATCCTTGTGGGGATCAGAAGTCCTCACAAGGATAGTAAAACAAGGAAAATTTGGACACGTGGGAACATTTTAGGGCGGCAGGTAGCCTAGCGGTTAGAGTGTTGGGCCACCAACTGAAAGGTTGCTGGTTCGAATACCTGAGCAGACAAGGTGAAAGACAATGGCTGACCCTGTAAAATTTCACTGCACCTATCCTGTGTATGTGACAATAAAACACACACACACATACGGTACCAGTCAAAAGTTTGGACACACCTACTCATTCAAGGGTTTTTCTTTATTTGTACTATTTTCTACATTGTAGAATAATAGTGATGACGTCAAAACTATGAAATAACACATATGGAATCATTTAGTAACGAAAAAAGTGTTAAACAAATCAAAATATATTTTATATTTGAGATTCTTCAAAGTAGCCACCCTTTCCCTTTATGACAGCTTTGCACACTCTTGGCATTCTCTCAACCAGCTTCATGAGGTAGTCACCTGGAATGCTTTTCCAACAGTCATCAAGGAGTTCCCACATATGCTGAGCACTTGTTGGCTGCTTTTCCTTCACGCTGCCGTCCAACTCATCCCAAACCATCTCAATTGGGTTGAGGTCAGGTGATTGTGGAGGCCAGGTCATCTGATGCAGCACTCCATCACTCTCCTTCTTGGTCAAATAGCCCTTACACAGCCTGTAGGTGTGTTTTGGGTCATTGTCCTGTTGAAAAACAAATGATAGTCCCACTAAGCACAAACCAGATGTGATGGCATATTGCTGCAGAATGCTGTGGTAGCCATGCTGGTTAAGTGTGCCTTGAATACTAAATAAATCACTGACAGTATCAGCAGCAAAGCACCACTACACCATCACACCTCCTCCTCTGTGCTTCACGGTGGGAACCACACATGCGGAGATCATCCGTTCACCTACTCTGCGTCTCACAAAGACACGGCGGTTGGAACCAAAAATCTCACAATTGGACTCATCAGACCAAAGGACAGATTTCTACCGGTCTAATGTCCATTGCTCGTGTTTCTTGGCCCAAGCAAGTCTCTTCTTCTTATTGGTGTCCTTTAGTAGTGGTTTCTTTGCAGCAATTCGACCATGAAGGCCTGATTCACGCAAAAACCTCTGAACAGTTGATGTTGAGATGTGTCTGCTACTTGAACTCTGTGAAGCATTTATTTGGGCTGCAAACTGAGGTGCAGTTAATTGCCGATTTCTGAGGCTGGTAACTCTAATGAACTTATCCTCTGCAGCAGAGGTAGCTCTGGGTCTTCCTTTCCTGTGGCGGTCCTCATGAGAGCCAGTTTCGTCATAGCGCTTGATGGTTTTTGCGACTGCTCTTGAAGAAACTTGAAAAGTTCTTGAAATTTTCCGGATTTACTGACCTTCATGTAATGATGTACTGTCATTTCTCTTTGCTTATTTGAGCTGTTCTTGACATAATATGGACTTGGTCTTTTACCAAATAGTGTTATCTTCTGTATACCAACCCTACCTTGTCACAACACAACTGATTGGTTCAAACGCATTAAGAAGGAAAGAAATTCCACAACTAACGTTTAACAAGGCACACCTGTTAATTGAAATGCATTCCAGGTGACTACCTCATGAAGCTGGTTGAGAGAATGCCAACAGCGTGCAAAGCTGTCATCAAGGCAAAGGGATGGTTACTTTCAAGAATCTCAAATATAAAATATATTTTGATTTGTTTAACACTTTTTTGGTTACTACATGATTCCATATGTTTTATTTCATAGTTTTGATGTCTTCACTATTATTCTACAATGTAGAAAATAGTACAAATAAAGAAAAAGCCTGGAATGAGTAGGTGTGTCCAAACCTTTTACTGGTACTGTATGTGTATTCCCAGTCATGTGAAATCCATAGATAATGGCGTATTGACTGATTTCCTTATATGAACTGTAACTCAGTAAAATCTTTGAAATTATTGCATGTTGCATTTATATTTTTGTTCTGTGTATATATACAGTGTATGCAACCAAATGCTTCCTGTTGTTGTTGATCAGTCTCTCACATCACTGTCGGGGAATTGTGGCCCACTTCTGCATGCAGAACTGGCCAAAACCAAATACTGCATTCCACATTAAGAAGCTCATACCAATGGTCAAGCATGGTGATGGTAGTGTAATGGTTTGGGGATGCTTTGCTGCCTCAGGACCTGGATGACTTGCCTTAATAGAAGGAACCATGAATTCTGCCCTGTATCAGAGAATTCTACAGAAGAATGCCAGGCCATCCGTCTGTGAGCTGAAGCTGAAGCACAGCAAGACAATGATCCAAAACACACAATCAAGGCTACATGATAATGGCTGGTCAAAGTCCAGACCTAATCCCAATTGAGATGGTGTGGTAGGACTTGAAAGGAGCAGTTCATGCTTGAAAACCCACAAATGTGGCTGAGTTAAAACAGTTCTGCATGCAAGATTGGGCCAACATTCCTCCTCAGTGATATGAAAGACTGATCAACAACTACAGGAAGCGTCTGGTTGGAGTCATTACATTTACGTCATTTAGCAGACGCTCTCATCCAGAGCGACTTACAGTTACTGAGTGCATACATTTTCATACTGGCCCCCCGTGGGAATCGAACCCACAACCCTGGCGTTGCAAGCGCCATGCTCTACCAACTGAGCTACACGGGGCCCAGTCATTGCAGCTAAAGGTGGCACAACCAGTTATTGAGTGTAAAGGGGCAATTACTTTTTCGCAGAGAGGGATTGGGTGTTGCATAACTTTGTTTATGAAATAAATTAAATAAGTATCTCATTTTTGTGTTATTTGTTCACTCAGGTTCCCTTTATTAGGTTTTAGTTGAAGATCTGATAACATTCAGTATCAAAAATATGCAAAAGTAGAGAAAATTAGAAAGGGGGCAAATACTTTTTCACGGCACTGTGTATATATATATATATATTTACTTATTTAGCCGGTCCCCACAAGGAAAAAGGCTATTTTAGTCTTAGGGGTTAGGTTTAGGGTTACAATTAGGGTTTAGGGTTAGGTTTAGGGGTTTGGGGTTAGGGTTAAGGGTTAGGGGTTAGGGAAAATAGTATTCTGATTGGAATCAATTGTTTGGTCCCCTCAAGGTTCATAAAACAAATGTGTGTGTGTGTGTAAGTGCACGCAAGTGTGTGTGTGTGCGTGTGTGCCAGGGTGTGTGTGTGTTACCTTTAAGCCTGTGTGTTTGTCTGTATGTGTATTATGTCATATCCTGTGTCATAGCTGTTCTTAATGGTCTGTGTCCCTGCCTCTCCAGGGAAGAGCCCGCCTCTCCATCCGGCGACGCCCACCTTCGAGACGACACAGGAAGTCCAGCGGAGAGGAAGGAGGCGGGGCCACGGGCGAAGAGACGCCCCTAACTACACCTGACGACCCTGCGGCCAAAGTTGGAGAGGAGGAGAAGGGAGAGGGGGAGGAGGAGGTGTTTGAAAAGGAAGAGGAGGAGAAGGAGGGCGAAAGAGCAGACACCACTCTGTCTACCAAAGCAAAGACAGAGACAGGCTCCTCCACCCCTGCTAACTCACAGCAACAGATTGCCACAACAGACAGCTCAACCACAGACACTGACCCACTTAAAAAGACAAAGTCAGAAAACACACTGGAGCCCCAGAGAGAGGAGAGACAGGAGAGACAGACTGGGGAGGAGAGACAGGAGGAGAGACAGACAGGAGAGGAGAGACAGACAGGAAAGGATGTAACTAGAGGAGAGGAGGTGAAAGATTGTGGTCAGGGGTGTGGAGGAGAAGAGGAGAAGGAGAAGGAGAGGGAGAGTTGTTCAGCATTCAGTAAGGACCAGGAGGAGTCATCTACAGAGAGAGAAAAAGAAGAGGGGGAAGAGCTGGCCTGCAAAGAGAAGGAGTGAGAGAGGGACACAGACCACAACGAAGAGAAGGTGAGGAAGGTGTTCTTTCACGTTCAGGGGCTCTATTCAATCCGCATCACAGAAGTTCAGCTTTACAGTGTGATTGAAATTTAAATGTATATCGTGGAATCGGTAAAGCTTCGACTTTACAGATTGAATAGAGCCCCAAGATATTGATAGTAGATATTTCACGAACCAAGATCACTGAACTATCTATCTATGGACTATACATTTCCTAAAAACTCTGAAACAACTCCATTCAACATCAAGTCACCTCAAGTGATCCTTTACCATCCCCATGCACAGAATATAATCTGCTTGCTGATAACACGCCAATACAAAATATGTATGTACCACAACAATTGTTATTATCTTTAAGAAATGATTTGTATTTTATCGGCTCAAGCTGACTTCTAACAGTCGTGTGTGTATGTTGCTATGTTTCCACCTCTCAGGAGGACATCAAGCTCTGATGGCGTCATAGACTGAGTCCGTAACCGCACCATGCCCCTGCCTTAGAGAGAGGGAGACCCCCATAGTGTGCCCTGCCTCCCCTCATCCCATGGCACATACTGTAGAGGAAAAGGAGAGACTGGTATGGACTGCAGACTCTGCCACTGGATGGACTCCCTTTAGTCCTCTGCATCTGGAAGGTCCTACACTCTGGCTGTGTCCCAAATGGCACCCTATGCCCTATACAGTGCACTACGTTTGACCAGGTTCCATAGGCCTCTGGTTTAAAATAGTGCACTATGTAGGGAATAGGGTGTCATTTGGGACATACCTATGCTAATTTTTGGACCTGTTTTTTGTCAATTTTTCTTTGGTGTCTTAGCCTGTGACTTTGTTATCTTTAGGCAGAGTAATGCAAGGGATTTGCCTGTACAGCTTTTTTTCCCCCTTATTTGGTTAGCTTGAATTGTTTCCACACAGAATGTTTTGGTGTTCCACTTGATTCTGTGTCCTTGGTAAGGATTAAGTAACCAGGATCCCGGGACTGTCCCGGGACCACTCTTCACATTTCCCAAAAACATTTTATGACAAGACCTGGGAAATTATAACATTTTCCCCGAATGTCGCACTAATGCAATTCCGCAAAATACACAACATGCACAGCAGCAGATTAGCAAAAAATGTAATAGCTCATTCTCCAAACAGGTTGTCGCATGGAAGCCTTTAGCCTAGTGTATCTACTTCACACAAAGTCGCCATAAATTCAAAGCACACACATAATTAACACTGCTGGACTGCACACAAGACCCGAATGCAGTTATGAGTTTTCATCAGAACTGAAAATGTGATCCTGGTGGGCTGAAGCCCGAGCCCAGGCCTGGTCCGACATCACAGAATTTAAATGAGCCCGAATCCAAAAAACCCCCCCAGATTTCTAGAAAACAGTAGGCTATATTGATTTAAACTGGTGTTGAGAACAGCGCGGCGGAGGTGGGCGGCAGCGGAGTGAGGAGACGGGGAAACAGCCATTGGGCCAAGAAAAAGCACAGAGTGAGGAAAACTCACCTTAGTTATGATCAACTGAATGATGAAAATATTGGAATATAGTAGGCTAATGCAATTGAAGGCATGTATCACATTTTTGCTTATACTGAAACTCCAAAAGTCAACTGTTATACTAATTTAAAGCAATAGTCGTGTGTGGTCACCTAGATTATAATTTCAGCACTGTTTTGATTGGGACAGCACCATAGCGCTGCTTTGAGACAGGTGTGGGGGACTCAACTAGATCAGGGTTTCCCAAACTCAGTCCTGGGGCACCCCATGAGAGCAATGTTTAGTTTTTTTGCCCTAACACTACACAGTTGATTCAAATAATCAAAGCTTGATGATGAGTTGGTTATTTGAATCAGCTGTGTAGTGCTAGGTCAAAAAACGAAACGTGCACCGAGGGGGGGCCCCACCGAGTTTGGGAATCCCTGGTCTAGATAAATCAATCAATGTCAGATTTTTGTTTTCACTTAATTTCCATTTGGATATTTGGTTACAATTAGGCTGGGAAAATGTTAGCTGAGTTGAGGTGAGTGCTGATGATCATCTTTATTATAGTTTGCTCATATATTAGCTGATCAGAACATTTTGCTAGCATTTTATACAAGTTCATTTTGCTCTTCAGCCTGTCCTACTCCCGACCAAAAGCTTGTGACTTGTCTGATAATCAATCAATGTGATTTGGTTTCACTTCATCTCTGTCTGTATATTTGGTTAATTGATCTCTGGCTGGACACGTGGAAGAGGTAGCTTATGTATTTGTTTGCTCATCTATCACCGATCAGAAACATTCAGCATGCAATAATGTAGCCTAAATCAAGTGTTTTATTTATCTATTGACTCACATACCGTAGTAGCTTTATATAGAGGCTATTTTCCTATCGTCCCAATTCCTCTGAAACCCCAAATCCTGACTCCTGTCTTGCATGAACATTCCTAACTTTATTCTGTAGTCCATGTCTGGTGTTGCTGCCGATATGAGAGCTTCGGTACAGAATGTGTGATCAACAAACGGTAGGCTGATGAGAGTAGATATGGATATTTTATTTTAACAGTTGGTCCCCGTTAAGATACCTTGATATTTAAACAATTTCCTCTCTTCATATCTCCGTTATTCATGAGCTGATATGCTATCATCAACTCGATTTTGCCAAATAGTCATTTGTTGGAGGTTATCTAGCAAGCTTAGCAACTTTGGCATTTTTTTTTTTGACTGCCGTTACAAAGTTTGTATGATTCGACAACGCTATAGCCTACTCTGGGTGCACTCTGTGTGTCCTGAGCGCGCTCTGTGTCGAGATAGCCTAGGCCTAGGTCTACTGCTGAAATGCGCTGAATTAATGCTAACGCTCTAAATTTATGAACGGCCTGTTTCGTAATTCACAACAATGTAATTGGCAATCAAAGTTACTCATGACCTAGTATCAGTTTCACTTGCTGTGAAATCTTTACAGCGCAGCGACAATCTTATTTTGGGAGAACCCTGGCATAGTGACCATATCTTGGTTTTAAACACTTTAAATAGGCATTTCTGATTTTAGTGGTATTTCCCGTGCCATCGGGATAATATGTTTTTTTTATTTAACTAGGCAAGTCAGTTAAGAACAAATTCTTATTTACAATGACGGCCTACCCAGTCCAAACCCGGACTACACTGGGTCAATTGTCCGCCGCCCTATGGGACTCCCAATCACGGCCGGATTGTGATACAGCCTGGAATCGAAGCAGGGTCTGTAGTGACACCTCTAGCACTGAGATGCAGTGCCTTAGACCGCTGCGCCACTCTGGAGCCCTAGTCCTTAGGAAGCCTATTTGGAGTTACAGGTTACAGTAGTAGATCTTCGGTCACAACATTGATACAAATGTGAGATGTTGTCCATGTTGTTCAGTTCTGTCAACTGTTTCCCTCCTGGGTCCTTAGTGCAAAACGGAACAAAACTTTTCACAACGGAAAGCGAATACAAGTTTTTCTTATTGGACAAGTTCAGGTAGATCCCTTCCGTTTTGGTTTGTTTGCTTCGGTTTGGTCTAGTGATTATGGCCCTAGTTTGTTCCTAATTTCAAATGGGTGTTATGTACTGTATGTTTGTCTTCACCACCTGTTGAAGCTATTATACAGCACAAGTACAGTTGGATATGTTGCCCACTAGGTGACAGTGCCTGCCGTATCACAGAGCAGTACACAGGCCTGCACAGTGCATTCGGAAAGTATTCAGACCCCTTGATTTTTTCCACATTTTGTTATGTTACATCCTTATTCTAAAATTGATTAAATCATTTTTTCCCCTCATCAATCTACACACAATACCCCATAAAGACAAAGCAAAAACAGTTGTAGAAATGTTGGCATATTTATTAAAAACAAAAAAATTACATTTACTTTGTTGAAGCACCTTTAGCAGCGATTACAGCCTTGAGTCTTCTTGGGTATGACACTACAAGCTTGGCACATCTGTATTTGGGGAGTTTCTCCCATTCTTCTCTGCAGATCCTCTCAAGCTCTGTCAGGTTGGATGGGGAGCGTCGCTGCACAGCTATTTTCAGGTCTCTCTAGAGATGTTAGATTGGGTTCAAGTCCGGGCTCTGGCTGAGCCACTCAAGGACATTCAGAGACTTGTCCTAAAGCCACTCCTGCGTTTTCTTGGCTGTGTGCTTAGGTTCATTGTCCTGTTAGAAGGTGAACCTTCAACCCAGTATGAGGTCCTGAGGGCTCTGGAGCAGGTTTTCATCAAGGATCTCTCTGTACTCTGCTCTGTTCATCTTTCCCTCAATCCCAACTAGTCTCCTAGTCCCTGCCGCTGAAAAACATCCCCACTGCATGATGCTGCCACTACCATGCTTCACCGTAGGGATGGTGCCAGGTTTCCTCCAGACGTGACGCTTGGCATTCAGGCCAAAGAGTTCAATCTTGGTTTCATCAGACCAGATAATCTTGTTTCTCATGGTCTGAGAGTCCTTTAGGGGCCTTTTGGCAAACTCCAAGCGGACTGTCTTGCCTTTTACTGAGGAGTGGCTTCCGTCTGGCCACTCTACCATAAAGCCCTGATTGGTGGAGTGCTGCAGAGATGGTTGTCCTTCTGGAAGGTTCTCCCATCTCCACAGAGGAACTCTTGAGCTCTGTCAGAGTGACCAACGGGTTCTTGATCACCTCTCTGACAAAGGCTCTTCTCCCCCGATTGCTCAGTTTGGCCAGGTGGCCAGCTCTAGGAAGAGTCTTGGTGGTTCCAAACTTCTTCCATTTAAGTATGATGGAGGCCACTGTGTTCTTGGGGACCTTCGATGCTGCAGACATTTTTTGGTACCCTTCCCCAGATCTGTGCCTCGACACAATCCTGTCTCGGAGCTCTTCGGACAATTCCTTCGACCTCATAGCTTGGTTTTTAATCTAACATGCACTGTCAACTGTGGGACATTATATAGACAGGAGTGTGCCTTTCCAAATCATGTTCAATCATTTGAATTTACCACAGGTGGACTCCAATCAAGTTGTAGACACA